ATTTATATTTTGTCAGCCAACAGTATAGAGCCTGTGTAAGATGTGTGAATGATTCTAAATTCACTACTCCCCACCAAGAATTCAAAACAACAAATATTTTTTGTCAAATTTTGTAAAAATAAAAAATATTGCTTTTCTAAATCAAATTTCATTTTAAAGTGAATTTGTCCATAATAGAAGGTCTGAAATATAATAAATAATTATGTTGATAGTATGGAGTATCATACACAACAAAAACTACTAATATATATACATTGAGATGATATGGTACTACATACAATGTATCTATATATAGAAGATAATAAATTGTTCTAGAACAAAATATTATTTTTCTCACAAAAATGTTCATACTTTATCACTTAGAATTCTATCAATATAGTTCTTTTCAATGAATTTTTTATAACAATATCAAAATGACATATTGTTCTTATATTATCCTACTGTTTTCATCAATATTTTAAATACTAATGGAGGAGAGCCCATTGTAGACCGATCCACTTTAATAAAATTTACATAACAAGAGGGCCATGATGGCCCTGAGGTCGCTCACCTGTATATAGGCCCCACCAACCCCCCCCCCCCCCAAACGTTGCAGGGCCAATTTAACCCAAGGGCTTTTATTTGCACAAACTTGGTAAACACCCATAAGAAGATGTTTCATGCTAAACATCTAAGCTCTAGCTCATTGGGCTTTTTAAAAGAAGATTTTTTTAAAGTTTTTTACTATACACATATAGTTAAAAACAATGACACCCCTGGGGCCGGGCCAGTTTTGACCCCAGGGCTTTTATTTGAACAAACTTTGTAGACACTTACTAGAAGATGTTTCATGCTTAATATCTAAACTCTAGCTATTTGGGTTTTTCCAAAGATTTTAAGTTTTTGCTATACACATATAAAGAAAATCAATGACCCCCGGGGCGGGGCCAATTTTGATCCCTGGTCTTTTACTTAAACAAACTTGGTAGACACCTATTAGAACATGTTTCATGCTAAATATCTTAGCCATAGCTCTTTGAGTTCTTTAAAAGAAGATTTTTTAAGTTTTTACTATATGCATATAGGGAAAATCAATGACCCCAGGGCGGGGCCAATTTTGACCCCAGGGCTTTTATTTGGACAAACTTGGTAGACACTTATTAGAACATGTTTCATGCTAAATATCTTAGCTCTAATCTTTTGGTTCTTTAAAAGAAGTTTTTAAGTTTTTACTATATGCACATAGGGAAAATCAATGACCCCTGGGGCGGGGCCAATTTTGACCCCAGGGCTTTTATTTGAACAAACTTGGTAGACACCTATTAGAACATGTTTGATGCTCAATATCTTAGCCATAGCTCTTTGAGTTCTTTAAAAGAAGATTTTTTAAGTTTTTACTATATGCATATAGGAAAATCAATGACCCCCCCGGGGCGGGCCAATTTTGACCCCAGGGCTTTTTTTGAACAAACTTGGTAGACACCCATTAGAACATGTTTCATGCTAAATATCTTAGCTCTAGCTCTTTGGGTTCTTTAAAAGAAAATTTTTTAATTTTTTTACTATATGCATATAGGGAAAATCAATGACCCCCTGGGCGGGGCCAATTTTGACCCCAGGGCTTTTTATTTGAACAAACTTGGTAGACACTCACTAGAAGATTTTTCATGCCAAATATCTAAGCTCTAGCTCTTATGGTTTTTTAAAAGAAGATATTTAAAGTTTTTTCTTTCGGTTGCCATGGCAACCAGAGTTCGCATGGAATAAATTCTTTGAACAATTTTTAAAGGTGACCACCAAAGGAACATTCCTGTGAAGTTTGGATGAAATTGGCTTAGTGGTTTATGAGGAGATGTCATTTAAAGTAAAAGTTTACGGACGACAGACGGACGGACGGACGCCGGACGAAAAGCGATCACAAAAGCTCACCCTGTCACTTTGTGACAGGTGAGCTAAAAATCAACCAGTAAAACATGGAACTTTCATCTTTCCACCTATATGACAATGGCCAAAGTATTCTATTGATTAGCCTGGGATTCAAGCGTTGATAGTTTTTGCTTATTCATAATATATGCGCTATTTTGTACTTGTTCGTTTATTTTTTATTAGTTATTGATTTGCCTAACAGAAGCATATATAAAATTGACAGACTGGAACCCAGGCTATCTATAAATTACGATTGGTGAAAATATTTAGTCTTATCATTATAAAAATCATCATGATCTATCTTGCTTATACATTATTTGAAGCACAAGAAAGCATTCTGTCAGTGAGTAAAATTAACAATCTGCCATAAGCTAGCCAAATAACATCCTCGAATTGAAACGCAGCACTATTGGTGGGATTTGAACTTACATATTAGAGATATAAATTCAGTGGTCTTAACCATTCAGCCAGCGCCGCCAATTATGCAATTATGAAAAAATTACTTTATCCACAATAACTTTACCCTTGATTAGTGTACATGCAAAATGAAGATTCCATCATTTCTATTCAACATGAACTAACAAAGTGCAATAATTACTCAAATATACATGTATGTTAACTAACTGACCAGTTTATCTTAAACAATTACTTTATACAACACAAAATTAACAAGTATGGAAAATCATAAAAAAAAAAAAAAAAAAAAAAAATGTATAGAAAAAAAAATATACACACAACATAGATAGATGAGACACACTAATATCACAGTCATGTTTGTACATATATCTTTACATTATGAGGTAAATTCAGTTTTACATATACATATTGACCATTTTTTATTAACCTGTCAATTGCATACTAAATTTAAGGTCAGTTCACACAATAGAATACATAAATGTTTTACAACCTTTTAGCTGTGTTTGTAAGATAAACAATATGTTCAAACAATAATCAACAATATGATGTTTAAAAATGTGTTAAATCTTTATTAAAAGAGAATTATAACTTAGCGGAATTAGATGCTCATCTACAATTAGCTATATAGTTGGTTGTAAGATCATTGTGACCACTTTGATCTCATACAATATTTTTGTAACAGATCTGTCAAAACATTTAGCCATTCAATTGTCTGTATTTCTTATTTCAAGGGGACAATTTGGTTTTGTGTTCTCAAAATAGATCCTACAAAACTTTATTTTATATAGCATGTATTAAATAAACAATTGCAAGGTTTGGGTAATGTTCTGTATCATAAAACATGTATAATTGTGATTATCATGAAATTTACTTTCTTTCCAGTGTTTCAAAAATATTATAAAAAAGTCCAAAAAAAAAAAAAACAACACCAGCTGCTAAACTCCAACCTTTGACCTCCATCATAAATGATCTATCCATTACGCTACTGATGCATGCTTGATTAATTAGTTTAACTATCAAACATATATCATCCTCCAAATCAAATATCATTAGTAGACTAATATAACCCAACAATAGCTGTTCAATATAAATATTTCTATTTCAATTTATGCATAACTGACAGGTCAATAAAACTGGACTATACATGCATTGTACATTATATATAAGTTAAATAACACACAAGAATTTATCACAGTGAGTATTTCTTATTAGCTGTCCCTGAATTCTAGAGATTCCATATTATCTAAGTCGGGGATTTCATTTTTGTTTGAACAAAAATCTTAAACAGTGGCTGGAATTTTTATGACTGTCATCATAAATAAACAGTGGCTGGAATTTTTAGGACTGTCATCATAAATAAACAGTAGTTGGAATTTTTATGACTGTCATCATAAATAAATATGATTATAAAACAGCATGAGTACATCACATTTCTATTATGGCCAAAATTATATTGTAAATCTCAACTAGATCAACATTGTTATAAAATAACAAGAGCTGTCAGTAAGATGCTCAACTATTCTCAGTGCTTGATAGTATAACATTTAGAGCCTTGATAATGTAGAATTTTCTAAGTTAAAAAAGAGCCATGATTTTGTACAAATCCATGTTAGAGGTATGAGTCTTGGACGGTGACTCCTTGTTAAGCTCAGCCAATAAGTGTGTGAAGTTTGAACCTATTTCTTTCAGTAATTTTGCAAGCACAAACTTAACTAAAGTGTTACGCTGAAGCAATAGCTCTCATTATTATTTGAATACTAGTAGTCAAGCTAAAAATCCCAAGATATCACGTGAAGTGATTCTTAAAATCTAGAAACTATACAAAAATCTTATCAATTCAAAAGATATATTTCATTTTACTCTAATATCATTCATTTCCAGTTCCAGAATACAAAAAACTACAATGTATGAATTAGATCTACTATATTGAAGGTACAGTAAATTTACGACACTCACCCCAAGTTTATTCATTCTAAAGAAAGAAGTGTGATATATCGTGCAAAATCATAGTCAGCTATTATAACCATTTCATTATAACTGTCTTTTGTACCAGTGTGGTCTAAGTAGCAGAATGTTACTGCATTAAATCAAGATAACAATTTGATCAAGATGAAAATTTAACATTTTGGTAAAAATTGTAAAAATATTATGAAATTATCTCAATGCAAAATTTACGTGGGAATGTTACCCGTATTTTATTCCCAAGATAAATAATTTAGTCCCCCAAGATTTGACCAATTTGACATTTTTAAAGTTAAAATTGTAGAAACACGATAAATTATTCACAATTTGAGCAAAATCTAAGTAACCTTTCCCAAAAATCTTGTCCTTCACATATGACCGTAGAACACTATAAGAGAGAATGGTATATCAAGTTTTATCACATAAACAGCGGCGCAGGAGTGTAATAAAGCCATTTTATTAAAAACGATTTTACACTAGTTAAATAACCACCTTTGGACGTTTGACCGTCCAATTTTGCGCTTATAATATAAAAAACATGTAGCCCGTTTAAAGCGCGCTAATGTTAGCGTTACCTTATGGGCACATCATTGAAAAATTACTCCATTTTAACAGGTTTTACTGTTCTTATTTTACATATGTGATAAATAGAATATTATATTCGTTGTAAATTCCAATACTAAAATTTAATTTTTGAAACTCTTGAAATAAAAACAATATTATGCTCGCCAGAGGCTCGCATAATATGATTTTATTCAACTCGTTCAATAAATTTAGTATTAAACTACACTCATTCAATATCCTCTATATAACACATGCTTTAACAATGGGTGATTGCTGGAATAGGTTGATTATCATAATAAAAAAACTTTAAAAACTTAGCATGATGAACAATGTTGATTATCTTTCAAAAGTTTAATGATGCCAAACACTTGTTTCCTCACTGATGAATATGGACAGTTGATATGTAATAATCGTCTAATTCTCATATCTGGGTGAATGACCTTGACCCCTGTGACCTTGCATCATCAACAGGTCGTTTCAGAGTCCCTTGGCCTATTTGATGCACCACCTTTCTTCCTATGATACTCTACATCTTTGGCACCTGAAATGATAAATAAAACATTGTCATTTGTATCATAATGGTATAACTTGTAACAAAAATATAAGCTATAAATAGAAACATTCTAAGAAACATTTCTAAATACAGATACACTGCTAAAATATTATCATTGTTGAAATAGTATCTAGATAGCTATTAATAGTGGCATTGTTAATACAAAAAAAGCAAACTGGGTATATATATGAATTATATTGCTAAAAAAAAAAAAATTATATTACTAGATAATGAAGGCTAAACCCTTTAAAAATTACATTTAGTTATCCCAGTGGGTTCAGGGCAAACCTAATATCCCATTGAAATGGTCCCTTAAGTTACAGAATAAATGATTTTCAATATTTTAATTCTTATGACATTCATTTAAAACCCAAAATCTAAAAACAAAATTCCAAATAACAACTTTTATTAACAACCCCTTTATATAATTATTTGGCCATTAATGATAAACTATATAAAAAATTTAAACTTGCAATTTTTAATAAAAAAAAACAATTTATATGTCCCTTCATGTTGAAACTGTTAACACAACGATTGTAAAAAATTGAATTTGTTCATAGGGAGTTAAAGTATCTTTATTATGCATTAAGTTAACATCTGCAGAAGGGAGAGGACACAGTGAAAGCCCAAGCCCGCATGGAGAGGGATTAAATAAAGACTGAATGAAGGCTTCTGCAGGAAGATGTGTAAGAAAGGTGCATTTAAAGTGCTATTCTTGCATAAAAGTATATCTCTGTTTGATTGTTCAACATTTCATTACCCGTTCTTCATATACAAAAAACTGGTTTCCTCATGATTTTTATATGCAAGGGCATTGTCATTTGACAATCATTGCAGTCAGCTATTTTTACATGGTGACCACTTATGTTATACATAATTTAAACAGTTACAGTGAATGTTTGAGTGATTTTATCTGTAATTGCATGTTTCCTTCATTGTTCATTAACTGTTAATTGATGTATCAATGAAGGCTTTTTTCCCTTTTTATAATAGGGTCTGTTTAAGGGTAGCTTTCCACCTGGAGTATTCTTTTAAATCATGCATTTTTTTTCCATTAAAATTCAATTTAAATCAAGTTTTTTCACCCCATTTTGCAAAAATACTGTCCTATTGCTCCAAAATTAAAGGGAAATTTACATTTTACCAATATAAAACACTAAAATTGATTAAATATAAGTACTTAGAAAAGAACATTAATTATAGAGTTCATATTGTGTTAAAATAAGTATATTAGATCAGTAAAGACTACAGTTAAGTATCTTAGTAAAGTCAATAATTTGTGTTGGATTTTAGAGACAATCTTTATTAAGTTTGAGATATATAAATGTCTTTGTCTTCTCACTTATAACACAGAGTCAAGTTGACTAAAGTTTTATAGTGGATTTACCATTGGCATCAAGATCACCCCCAAGCCCCCATCCATTCACATATTTTGTTTAACACCAAACTGATAACTTATAGAATGATACTCTAAATATTGCATAACATAACCATTCCATAAATATTTAAGTTCAGAACTGCTTTATATTGAATTACAGAATTTTCTCTTAATACTTGAAATACATCACTGGCCCTCTAACATTATAATTAATATATATAACTATCACTGAAATGTTAAATGATAATACTCTTCCCATATATAGAACAGTCCCCTTAATGCTGGGCTAGAGAACTTTCCAATAAATATTAAATTATAGAATTTTCCAATAAAATTGAATTTAATTTTTAGTATTTTCCCATATTAAAATATAGAATTATAGAATTTTCCCATAAATATTGAATTATAGAATTTTCCCATAAATATTGAATTATAGATCCATACCCTAAACATTGAAAGTTATAGAACTATCCCTAAAACTTTGAATTATAAGAACTATCCAATAAATATTGAATTATAGTAAATTCCCTTCAATATTGACTTATAGAACTATTTCCCATACATGTATACTTAATTATAGAATATCCACTCAATACTGTATTACTAAATATCCATTTAATATTGAATCATAGAACAATTCCTTAAATATTCAATCACTGAATTTCCCCTTAAAACCATGTAAAAGGACTGTTAATTCCCTAAATGCTAAATGGTAGAATTATTCCTTAAATATTGAATGGTAAACTATTCCTAAATATTACTATTATAGAACTATCACCAAAATACTTAATTGCAGAACTATCCCATAAAGACATGTATTGCATTATACTAGAACAAAGTGCAAAGGGAGGCTACTTAAGTGCTGTTTTAGGCACTAAGAACAACAACAATGAAATCAAGTTTCAAGTGCAAATTAATAGAACAATTTACAACTATACCAGTCCTATGTAACATTCCTACTGCAAAAATAGTTTCATCATTACATTTCAATGACATTGTCACTTACAATGATGATGAAATACCGTAACCAATTACATGTATAACCAAGCAACCGAAAAAAAAAGATATGCAAGAAATTATTATATAACTTGAATTTGTTCAGGGAAAGTGGGGAAACAATACTTTTTTTAGAATAATTAAGCTCCGATAAATAAAATTATTTTTTGATCTTAATAATTATACAGAACTATATTTGGTGCTGTAACAAATGCTGAAAGCCAAATTCAAACTTAATATTCCACTTCAAATACTCACAAACCAGTTCCTTCCAATATAAAAGACAAAATGCACGGTCACCTTTGTTGGTTTTTTGTTAAAAGCAAAGCATCAAAAAGCTGGTGTCATCAAAGCTTTAAAAAAGTTAGTTTTCAGCGGACTAAAGTAAGAAGAAATCTACAAATTTAAACGAGAATCTAATCGCAATTGCACGTGCACGCATGATACATACTGACAACAGAGTATGGATCTGTGTCAAGCCCTACTTTGACTGCATCTGAAAATAGGTTAAATAGGGTCAATAAATTAGAATTCTTAGTTTTAACAAAAAAATGTCCATAATACTTATGGAATTGATCCCGATAGTTTAGATAAGTGCCAGTAAATTAGAACTGTTTTTCAACAAAAATGTCAATTTTACAAATGAAATTGCTCTTTGATATAACACTCAGACAAGGATAAGAAAATGTGGTCTATACTATATTAAGGAAATACAGAATTTTTTTTATTCAAATATGAAAAGTAATGACTTGCACCCTGAATCCATTTTGAATTATGTAAACACTGCATGATTTCACCTTCAAAATTCAAATAATTATTACTGTTTATTACATGCTTTTCAGTGGACAGTGAAATTATATTTTGATGATTTTACAGTGAAATTATAAAATCTAATTTTCACAGTACTGGTTGGGGACCACCAAAACCGGACAACCACCAAACCCGGACAGCCCCGAAAATGCTTAATTTAGTATTTTCTTTGTTCAGTGGTTGTCAGTCACTTTTTTATCAACAATAAGTGCATGTTTCTTTTAAAATTAAGTAAATAAATTTATTTCAATCTCCGTAAATCTTAATATTTAAATGTCTATTACAAGAATGTTGACATTGAAATTTGGGGGTCAAGAAAGCAATGCCTGATCTCATATACCAGCTATTATCATTTGCAGAGTGAATAATAGAATATCCAAAACATCAGCATTTGTTGCTGACATATTGTATATCATATTATAGATCAAAAATCAAAACGCCAAAGCTTTTATCTGAATTAAATCATATCATGTACATTTCTGTCCGGACACATGGTACTGTAGTGTATACAGTTTAGGTAATTTTGATACCCTCCTTGTCGAGCCTCAGATATAAGTGCCAATACAAACAGAAATAAACAAACTAGTTTGTTAGTTAGGAGAAGAACCTAGCTGTACTGTGTCAAAATTTCAGGTCTGTAGATTTGAAATTATGAAATCTGTATAGAAAAATGTTCAAAAAGTGTCCGGTTGATGGTCTCCGACCAGTAGCCAGATGGTTTCTGAATGCAGAACTTAAATAAGCAGTTTAGTGGAAATATTGTAAGAAATATGAGCTGTCATGAAAAAATGTTCTTGTTTATGAGAAGCACATGAATGTCTGCACATGAATATTTTATCGTTCCCAAGAATAATTTGCAACAATTCTGGAATACAGTCAAACTAGACTCTCAATAAATAAGTAATGGGATGTTCAGAAATTTCGGCTGATTAAAGGGTTGACAATTTCACACTTTGAAAACTACATAATGGATCTACTTTAACTAAGGCATTTTCAACCAGCTAATCATACAAAACAAGTGTCTTCTAGTGTCATCTTTGCAACTGTTTTTCGTTTATTTTGGCTTTATGAACATAAATGATTTAAAGGCCCATTAAGCCTCAAAAAATGCAATTACCAGTACATGTATTAAAATTATATTTTTTAAAAGCATTTATATTTCAAAAGCCTTTTATTTTACAAAAGCCTTTTTATTTGGTCATTGAATTACAGCTGAGCTACCCTTTGCCTCATTTGCATTTTGGAAATTAGCACAACGAAATTAAGTTTGTAATTTGATTGAAAGTCAAAATCATAACCACTTGTTTTACATCTTGCTACATCTATAACAAATTATTTCGCATTCAGTGCTATGAAAGTTCTTTGGAAGATAAATTTCTAACATTCTTATTATAAAATCTAAAAAACAAAGTTTCAATAGTTAAATTTCAAGAAAAATTGAACTATGAATCAAATTTTAACAATTAAGTTGAAGATGCCTAAAAAATACATTTGAGACTATTTGAATACAGTTTTTATAACTGATGAGAGTGATTGTGAAACTGAATATTTGTGAAATACAATATGATATTCTATGTGAAACTTAAGCTTAGAAATGTGAATCTTTACTTACAAAAAACTAAATATGCATGTGAAACTGAACTTATGTGAAACTTATTTTTGTGAAAAAGAACAAAATTGAAACTGAACTTGATATGTTAATTTAAACAAGAGAGCAACAATGGCTCAACATCAGAACTGCTCACTTGGTACATCATTGTGCTCAGGTGAGCAAAAACAGAGGTAATAAACAACTAAAACTGTAAAGCAACATTGTTAGTAACATTAACTTGCCAAAAGGTTTTAATTTGTTGAAAGCTGAAGCTTATAGTGATAGACTGTATTATATTACTTTATCGACTTACTCTCAATTTCACTTTGACTGTCAGAACTACCTGTGAAATACAAGTTAACCAAATTTTATACTGTCTTAAAGGAACTCCATGGAGGTCAAAAGGCCTATAAAATATGAAATTTGAAAATCTTACAAATATCAAGAGAAACACTTAAAATGAAAGAATCTGCAAAGGATAATCAAGAAATTCACGGAAAATCATAGTAAATGCAATTTTTAGCCAGATTTGAGTGAAGAGTGTTGCAACCCTTTTCATATTATTTGGGTCAATGTGCAATAAAAATGATTATTCTTGAAAAATAGGGTGTGGGAATGATCTGACAATTTGCACACAAGCTATTAGTTTAGACCTACATCAAATGGTATACAAATTTCGAACAAAAAATATTTCCAGTTTTGTCATGTCAAAAATCTCAGTTGAGTCCCTTTAATCATTTAAAAAGTTATTGGTTTACAGAAACTGCCTTTGCTTCAACACTGGAAAATGTTTATATAATACAGAATTCTTTTTTTTCTATAAACTAAAAGTGAAGTGAACATAATTGTGCAAATTATTGTAAAAACTTACAGAATAACTGTGCAAATTATTTGAAAGACTGACAGAATTATTGTGTAGAATAAAATATTGTTCTTATTGAAAAGATGACACCAACTTATTGGCAACATAACCTGCCTGTAACATTAAACATGTAGTTCAAGTTTGAAGTGAATATTTTGGATGATATTTGAGCAAATTAGAAAATTTTAAGACAAAAAAGGGAGATAATTAAGCAAAAATGACTTTCAGGATTATCTGCCCTTTTCATTTTGATAATGAACAATACTTACAAGTTTAAAGTGAAGAACTTAGATACATTTCTTTTAAAAATAGGTTTATCATGATAGAAAAATAATACCAATTAGATTTCGAAAAAAAGAGCTCTGATAATTTCTGAGAACATGAATTTAACATATTTAAGGTACAAGTGACCTTGACATTTGACCTTATGACCCTAACATAGGTGTAGCAGATAGAATTTGTGTTTGAAATTTCTTATCGTCACTGCACTTTGATTACTTGGTCAGTTTTATGTTTTGTTATTGCAAGTCCCCAATGACTTGGACCTTTTGTGTGGTAGGTAAGACTCATCAAGGCATGTACATATAAAGTTTCAATTAAAAAGCTTTGTCTGTGTTGAAGTAAGTGACTCTAACAAAAAAACAGTTACCAAAAATAATAACCAAGGAAGATGCTCATACTGACAACTGGGTCACCACAATACCTCCACATTTCTTCTTAGAAAAGTGGAGCTAAAAAAAATAGTCTATATCCTACCAAATCATCGAACAAAAGTAACTAATACAGTTTTCTTAAAAATAAATTGAGCAAGAAATAGTCATTCCATAATGGAAACATAATGTGCTAAAAACAGAATTATCCAGTTGGCAACAAATTTAAATCATTTGCAATTACTCTTTGAATATATTCTTTTGAAAACAAAATAATTGTTCAAAAGACAGAATAACTTTGCAGAAGATAGAATAAGTGTGCAAAAAATGAATAATTGTACAATAGACAGAATAATTGTGCAAAAGACATGATTATTTAATTGACAAAATCCACAAGTTATCCAACTTGTCAATCTGATGTACCTTGTTACTATAAATAAGTATTGCAAGTTTCAATTGAATATCAAAAATATTGAAAATCAAAACACCAAAGCTTTTATCTGAATTAAATCATATCATGTAAATATCTGTCCGGACACATGGTACTGTAGTGTAGACAATGTAGGTAATTTTGATACCCTCCTTGTCGAGCCTCAGATATAATGCCAATACAAACAGAAATAAACAAACTAGTTTGTTAGTTAGGAGAAGAACCTAGCTGGCAACAAATTTAAATCATTTGCAATTACTCTTTGAATATATTCTTTTGAAAACAAAATAATTGTTCAAAAGACAGAATAACTTTGCAGAAGATAGAATAAGTGTGCAAAAAATGAATAATTGTACAATAGACAGAATAATTGTGCAAAAGACATGATTATTTAATTGACAAAATCCACAATGGGGAAAATAACAAGAATTATTCAATTGACAACAAAGTCATTTCACAAAATACCAAACAACACAAATAAAACAGAAAAATTGTACAAGCAACAAAATTATTGTACATAAGACAGAACTAAATGGTATCAGTACTGACAACAGAATGACAAAATCTATGAACAAAAAAATTTCATTGAGCACACAATAAAATCATTAGCAGACTACAAAATCATTCATCAGACGACACCTCAATGACAGGGGGGATTACTCTAATTGCTTTAATAACTTACTCTCAATCTCATCCTGACTATCAGAGGATGAGTCTGCAGTGAAAAATATTTCAATCATAATTTTTATTAACCTACAATTTGTATGCATTTATATGAATATTTGGTACAATAATAAAGAAAAAAATATTTCACACAACAACTGTGTTATTTTGTAATCAAGCTAGACTAGTGAGATAAAAAACAGCCTAGAAAACCCCACAGCATTTCATTAGTTTAAAGTATGTATTATTAGTATTAGGGGTTAAACCAAAATAATTTACTAAGTGCAGGAAGATCAACAGATGCCAAGACTTAATCTGCACTCTCTGTAAGAAAAAGACAAAGACAATGCCATTATGTCCATAATAAAGACCGTCAATGCCAATATTTGATATGGGAGGTAATGGCATTATTTCAATATGAAAAACAATGTTTTATATACCAACAGACAAGGACAGTATAACCAAAAAACAATGTTTTTAATTCCTTAAAACATACAATGTCAATATTTCCCTATAAAAGACAGTCATCATTTCCCTTTAAGGCAATGCCATCATTTCCCTATTAAAGACAGTGTCAGAAAATTATTTCCCTTTAAGACATTGCTCCAAAGACTTTTAAATGTCATTATTTCCCAATAAAAGACAAAGTCATTATTCCCCTCTAAGACAATGCAAGAATTTTCATACCAAAGACAATATCATTTATTAAAATCCTAATAAGAGACAATGTAATTATTTCCCCATTAAAGTTATTGTCATTATTTCCATATAAAAGACTGTGAATAACAGTATTCCATATAAAAGACAATGCTAGTATTTCCATACCATTATTTAAGACAATTTTTTTATTTCCCTCATTATTCATTTCCCTTCGGATACATCAATTTGAAGAACATGTTGATAAAATTTTGATTTTTTATATATTATTCCTAGAATTTTATCTTTTTTATCCACAATTATTTTCATGCACTTAGTGTACAATAAAATCCAAAGTTACATAATGTCAAGTTGTATGAGCTGCACCACTATGGCATTACCATGGGTTATTTTAGACATACTATAATGTTGCTTGAATTACATTTAATAAATAATATTTAACAATTAAACAGATGAAACAATTGACCGTTACACAGGTATACAAATTAAAGGAGGACATCATGATAATATTATTAATTATTAGATTTATAAAAATATTTTGGGTATTTCTGGATCAAACCAAAGATAAATTTAACTATTTAAATATACATATGAAAATATTCTTTATAAGGAGGCAAAAATACTTAATTCTGATCCTTCTTTAATGAAGGAAACCTGTTAGAATAGTATTATTATATTAAGAAAAATAGGAAAGAACTGTATAAAGAAAGATACACTGTAATATGAATACATATATTAAAGAAAAAAGTGCAAGAAACGTCTATAATTCATTTTTTCTAAAAGCCATAAAAAACGATTATATCATCCATTTTTACCAAGCCATAGACAGTTTGAAATACGAAGGTAAATCTGAAGTTTACGATTTATAAAACCGACTTACTATCAGTGTCCTCCGACACCATATTATCAGTCTCGGCATGATAAACAGGTGTCGGGAGCGGGGATGCACCAAACAGATAGTTCACACTGTACTCGCCTGCCTTTTCCGTGGACTGGACCTCAGTTTTACTATCCTGTTCATTCAGTGTATTCAGTTTGGTTTGAGCACCATTCTGATCTAGCAAACTGCCTTCAGGATGGATGGCTCGTAGACTTGCAGTACCATGGCTTCCAGACAAACTGAAGTGGTGAAAAAAACATCATATCAAATTATTATGAAATCATATACATTATGTATCCACCATTTTCACACATTTTTGAAAATATAATATACAAGATAGGCGCTTGTTTTTTTTATTATAAGAAAGTAACTCTTTCTAAAATACTATAGTATGTTTATAAATTAAGAATGTTTTTAAGGCGTCTTCTTCATTCAAACTTACTGAAATTTCTGAATATTAATTTTGTTTCCAAAAAATAAATTAAGAAATCTATCATTTATGCTCACTCAACTAACAACTGTTTTAAAAAACAACTTAATTACTGTTATTCCTATTTGTGCAGTAAATAAAGCACCTTTCTTGTTTGAAATATTAAAGCTTAAAAACATCAGTACATGCAATGTAAATTTTTGAAAATATCTTATAAGTTTAACATCAATATCATCATCTTTTCTATACACCTCTAGCTAAATTCTGTTAGCTGCATGCTTATAAATATAATCTAGCACCTTTACAATGAGGCTAGGATAATTTTACTATTAAACACGGGAAACTTAATATTTATTCCTATCCAAATACATGTACATTTTGTATCCAGATGCAGCTTACAAGAACAAGTTTGCAATATTTTCCTCTTTATTTCAACTAATCAACCATTAAATTGGGGTTTTCATTTTAATCTGAGGCAACAGGTGTGACTACGAGAACAACCAATGGACCTTTCCGGTGTTTACAGTTTTATGTAAATTGTCTAACTTGTTATCCAATCGCTATACTGAGATAATACATAGTCACTGGTTGACCTGGTTTGCACAAAAGAGCACGTGCTTATGTTTGTGATACTGTTTGTGAGCAGTTGACCTAGCAATGAATGGAAAAGGTGTGGCTAAATGTTCCGCTACAAAAAACCGGAAAGGTCCATTTGGCCAAGGGTCAAGGGAGTTATTTTAAACAACAGGCTGAAAATACAACAGATTTTAACAGCACTTTAACAGATGATATGGATCACCATTCTGTTAATAATGAAAACCCTGCATTAAATGCACCAGTCCCGAATTTGAAATATTTCATTAAAATCTTTTAATTTCAACCTTTTGAATTTGAACCAGTTTGTCATCTTTTGCACCAATATCCAAACATGTCTCATTATTTGCATGTTTATTCACACAAATCCACTCACAAAGCAGTAGGTAACAAGAGCCATGTCAACATGGCCATCCCCAGCCGAATGTGTTTGCTGACATTGGAAGAATGTATATGTAGTAGAGCAGAATAATTCCATTTTAAGAGGTCTTTTGGTAATGAAAACTGATGGCTATAGTGATTACAGATTTGAAACCTATGTGAATACTGATGGCTGAAAATAACAAAGGGCAATAACTGAAAAATAATGCAGGGTAGGTTATCATCCTTGTGTGCTGCATCCCTCCTCAGTAAAATCTATCCACCTATGAAGTTTCAAGTTGATACCTCAAATACTTTTTGAGAAAAAAATTGAATTGAAAAATTAAGTATGAAAAATAACAAAGGGCAATAGCTCAAAAATTATAAAAGGTACAGTTATCATTCTTGTGCAGTGCACACCTCATGAGTGAGATCTAATCACCTGTGAAGTTTCATTTTGATATCTCAAAGGCTTTTTGAGTTATGCTCTGGACAAAAATTAATTTTGAAAAATAACAAAGGGCAATAACTCAAAAATAATGCAGGGCAGAGTTATCATTCTTTAGCACTGCACTCCTCCTCAATGAGATCCATCCACCTATGAAGTTTCAAGATGATACCTCAAATACTTTTTCAGATAAGCTCTGGACAAAATAGCATGAAAAAAACAACAAAGGGCAATAACTCAAAAATTGTATAGGGAAGAGTTATCATTCTTGCGCACAACATTTCTCCTCAATAAGATCTATCCTTCTATGACATTTCATGTTGATATCTCAAACACTTTTTGAGTTATGCTCCACTCAGGTGAAAAATTAGGTATGAAAAATAACAAAGGGCAATAACTCAAAAATTATGAAAGGAAGAGTTATCATTCTTGTGCACTGCACACCTCCTGAGTGAGATCTATGCACCTATGAAGTTTCATGTTAATATCTCATAGGCTTTTGGAGTTATGCTCTGGACAAAAATCAATTTTGAAAAATAACAAAGGGCAATAACTCAAAAATCATGCAAGGTAGAGTTATCATTCTTGTGCACTGCACTCCTCCTCAATGAGGTCTATCCACCTATGAAGTTTCATGTTGATAACTCAAATACTTTTAGAGATATGCTCCGGACAAAAAATTTCGGACGGAAGGACGGAAGGTCGGACGGACGGACGGAGACTATTACTATATCCTCCGCCGAAAATTTTCGGTGGGGGATAATAAGCAGTCTCATGTACATGCTTCTAGAATATAATTTCTTTTAAGCTAAGAATAATTTCAAGGAAAAGTGCAAAGGTCAAGTGCCTAAAGTTCAAGCTATCCCATAAACCATCAGCTGCTTCTTTACATCAGCTGCTTCTTTAACTATCAGTAAACTTACTAATATTTGTAGCTTTAGTAGGAACATTAAGGTTAGTCTTATTGTAATGCTTTCTCGCCGAAAAAAAATCAAACATTGGCCAATATCGTAACCAACTGGTCATATCCGGAATGTTATTTTTCACAATCTTCGGTATTCAATTATTTTTAACCATTTCTTTACAGAATTTAGTACATAGCGATAAAGGATGAGTGATTGTAAATTATCTAATGCCCAAGATTAAGAAAAACAAGAGGGCCATGATGGCCCTGGAATCGCTCAACTGTATATGAGCCCCTGGGCCAAGACCAATTTGAACCTTTAAAGGGCCTTTATTTGAACAAATTTGCTTGACACCCATTAGAAGATGTTTCATGGTACATATCTAAGCTCTAGCTCTTTGGGTTTTTTAAAAGAAGATTTTTATAGTTTTTACTACATACATAAAGGGAAAAACATTGACCCCCTGGGGCGGGGCAAATTTATACCCCAGGGCTTTTATTTGAACAAGCTTGGTACACACCCACTAGAAGATGTTTCATGCTTAATATCTAAGCTCTAGCTATTTTGGCTTTTTAAAAAGAGTGTCTTTTAAGTTTTTACTACATAAAAATAAGGAAAATTAATGACCCCCTGGGGCGGAGCAAATATTTACCCCAGGGCGTTTTTTTAACAAATTTGGTAGACACCCACTAGAGGATGTTTCATGCATAATATCTAAACTCTAGCTCTTTAAGTTTTTTTAAATGAAGATTTTTTAAGTTTTTACTATATACAAATAAGGAAAATCAATGACCCCCCCCCCCTCCGGGGCGGCGCCAATTTGACACCAGGGCATTTATTTGAACAAACTTGGAAGACACCCATTAAAAGATGTTTCATGCTACATATCTAAGCTCTAGTTCTTTTGCGTTTTTTAAAAGAAGGTTTTTTAAGTTTTTACTATATATATACATATAGGGAAAAGCAATGACACCCTGGGGAGGGGGCAATATTTACCCCTGGGCTTTTATTTGAACAAATTGGTAGATACCCACTAGAAGATGTTTCATGCTTAATATCTAAGCTCTAGCTATTTTCGTTTTTTAAAAAAGGATTTTTTAAAAGTTTTTACTATATACAAATAAGGAACATCAATGACCCCCAAAGAAGATATTTTAAGTTTTTTCTTTTGGTTGCCATGGCAAGCAGAGTTCTGCTTGGAATTAAATTCTTTGAACAATTTTTAAAGTTGACTACCAAAGGAACATTACTGTGAAGTTTGGATGAAATTGGCTTAGTGGTTTATGAGGAGATGTCGTTTACGGAGGAACTTCGGACGGATGGACTCTGGAAGCCAGACGAAAAGCGATCACAAAAGCTCACCATGTCACATGTGAGTTAAAAATAACGTTCCGGAAATAATCGAATTGCTACTACATGTATTTTAGCCGATGTTAGATTTTTTGGCGAGAAAGCATTACAGTAAAACTACCTTAAAACAAAGCCTTCTATAGAACATATCTCTATATACTCTAATGGACTGAAACAAATTTAGCACAGCAATGGTACAATAAAGTGTGCAAGGGGTGTTTCTGACATCAATTCAAAACTGTGACAACTTCAGTCATTAAATGAAACAAGACATGATTGAATTGCACAAGACATGATAAAATATTTGGTTATATGATACACTTGTCACTAGCCAAATGAGATATAGCGTCTATATGCCTGCTGTATTTAGGTACATGTCTAGCTCTCGTTAGTGTTTTTCTACCTCTTTTCGATGGTACAGTAAACAGACCTGTTTACAATTTCTAGAAATAGCCGTTTTCCCAAAATGTTATCAAAATTAACTATGTAGCTGTCATGATTTTTCCCCTTATTTACCTAAGTGGTTTCTAGCTATATTTTTTCTTTTTTTAACATTTCCCCCATCTCCTTATAATAACCTAAATGGTGTCAAATATTTTACACCTGACCCGCTACCTGCTGGAACCAGGAAACATTTATCCTTTTTCATCAACAGCATAGAGCCAGACCAACCTACCCAACTATGCATTCTGCCTGGGCTCTGAACTGTCCGTAATTTTGAAATTCCTTTCAATTCCTGTCAAGACGTTAAAGTGACATAATGCTAATCCAAGAAAATTTTATAGTAAGGGACATAATGTTAATTCAATGGTTATTTTATGGTGAGTGTGCATAAAATAGAACTTTGCATTTGTCATCTGATAAATCAATAACCCCTGTGACCCATATAAACTTCTTTAAATATCTTTTTGGAAATCACCAGTCATTTTTAATTTTGAAAAAGAGTAGGGAATTTCTTTTTTATATTTTAGCCTAAACATTTGTCATTATCAATTATTGTTCTATTGCCAGTCTTTTTGGTCATTCTTTTTGAAATATGCAGCTTGACATTGAAAAAATGAGCATAATGTCACTTTAAGTGTTGACACATTTCCCCTTTGGGTGGTCACAGACCTGTTTCCGAAAAGATGGGAGAAAAACACTGCTTGAACAGAAAAGCAGTGGAAGGGTCGAAGGTTAAAAACTGTTGATTTGAAATATCAGTCTGGTTCTCTTTTTCAACTGTTTGTAAACTTAAACCATGGGTACCTTGGTGGAGGAAGCTCGGAGTCTGTGGCAACCTCATACCATTCCATGTTTTTATTTCTACTGTAAGTTAAACATTCAAGAATGTGTTTTTTTATGAAGTCAAGTCCTTAGCATGGAAAACTTAATGATGCAAATGCATCAAAAATGCAAAATTCTAAAAAAATGTTACTCTTGTATTGGTGTAAAGGAAATCATGAAAATACAATGCACAAAACAAAAGTAAAATTCTTATTGAAAAATCATAATAAATGGCATTTTCCATCTTTGAAATCAGTCCAAGTCCTGTAAAATAGAATTTATTTTTCATGCCTTCCTTTCAAACAGCAAGAATATTGAAAAAAACTGGGGAGTGATCCATGTTTAAGGCTTGACAAAGCAGAAAACATTGCCTTAAAATGAGGCTGATCAAAGGGTAGAGGTTCAAGGATGATATCAACATATCAAGCAACTACAAAATACTCTTCTCTCATTGGATGTTCTGATGACACATGGTGATCTAATACACTCCACACTACCAGAATACATTGGGCAAAATAAAAATTCAAAATGGCAAAAGTATCCTAGATTCAACAGCGTACACATGGTTCATCCTTTCCAAATGATGATGAGGAAAGTTATCGGTCACAGGGTAAGATATGGCTTAAACATATTGTTCAAGCTCAGTTGCGAAACAAATTCTTGCAACTTATCACTTTTCAGTCCGCTTCCTGGAAACAACCAGTACTGGTGTCATATGAAGAACCATGGTTGTGACAAAATTAGGGCTCGAACCCATGATTCCTGGGTTGAGAGGCAGGCACCTCAACCACTAGGCCACCACTCCCCTGATATTCTCAAGGTTATGGTTTTCCAAAATATCATATATTCAATATCAGGTCAGCAAATAATCCTGTAACTATAAATACCAATCAGGAAATGCCTGTGGTATGACAAACAATTAAAAAGTGTAAGGATTGACAGACTTGCAACTATGTGTGTCAAGAACAAAATTTGGAAAATACATACTTTTTTGGGCTTGTAACATCAGATTCGTTTTCTTCAGATACAGGGGGCAGGTCTCTACTAGAAGCAGACCAAGGTGCTGGAGGAGCAGCCGTATTTTCAGGACCACTCTTGTACTCCTCGTCCGAATGATGATCAGGAAAATTGCCGAAATTTGCTGAGTCATCTCTGGCCCTAATAATTAAAAGAAACCCATTAAACATTTTAAATAATTGGTTGACAGTTTTGATGAAAATCTATACTCTTCAAAACTAATAAATTTTAATTAATACAGACTTTACATATTTCAATATTTTAGTTACAATACATATCAAATACAGAGAAAAAGTAAAATACATGATTTTCTTAAAACTTGAACTAGAGACCACCTCAAAATAAAGGCACATACCTTTAGGTAGTTAACATTTTCAGCTTCAAATCACACCCATACAAAGTCATATCAAAACTGTTAACATGATTAATCAGACTTTAAAATCAATTTTTAATAACACTTAATGCACTAGTCAAATAAAACCCATCCTCCCCATTCTAAACCGTAGGGCAGTGCTGGCAAATCAGGGCAGAAATAAGCAATAATAACCTATAATGTATGGGTTGGTGCAATGACTTTGTTAAACTGCTCATATAGCGAGGAATATGTCCAACTTGCAGTGCAGATATTTTTACCATCTGACAATCCCTTTGAAAGGAGGACATTTTACCTAGATTTTGATATAAATCGTAACATGTACAATAAAAACTCTGAAAACCGGACCCTCTGAAAACCGGAATCCTCTGAAAACCGGACCATTTCAAAAGTCCCGTATTTTCTCCTTATATGTTCATTGAAAAAAAATCCTCTGAATACCGGAACCTCTGAATTCCGAAAACCGGACGATTTTCTATGGTTGCTAATGCTAAACATGCATAAAAAATCCTCTGAAAACCGGACAGCAATTTTAAGTGTCAACTTTCTGTGTATTTTAATGTATACTAAAACATAATCTCAACAGGTGACATGTTCAATGACCAGTTAATGATCACCTTTTTTATCTATGCAGGTGTGAAAACACTTGTTAGTGTGTGCTAATTTCTTATTGGCAATTAAATTATTGCTTTTCCATTATAACTGTGCCTTTCCCTGTATAGGTATGATGTTTCTAAATGTTTTTAATTTGTTGTGTTTTTTTTTAAATATAAAATGTCTAAAAGACTTGGGAAACTTTTGTAAAATGATTCCTGCTTTTCTAAAAATTTTGATATTTGTTTGGATATTTATTATATGCAAAAATAATAGTACTAAATTCCATTAATTTAATTACATATTTCAAAAGCCAATTAAAAAGATATATTTCAGACAATGTGTTGTTTTAATTTCTGATTTTCTGAATTATATTCATGGATTTGCATAATAAAATTACTTAAGACATTTATTGCTAAAAGAAATTAAAATATGACTTTGACAAAAGTGTTAACTAGAAATGTGTCATCATGCCACGGATGCCCCCGCATACAGCCAAAATTTCAAATGTTATAATATTTAGTTCCAAATTTGTTTGCACAAATTATTTTTTTCATTCTATGTTCAAAGCCCTTAAAACTTTTCAATGTTAACACAAACCATTTTTATACAATGTTCAAGGCACTGAAATTATTCAGTCTTAACCTTTTGAAAATAGCATATTGCATATTTGTAGCCAAAATAATGGCTATATACATTTCCACAAAAGTATGAGTGCTGAAACTGAAAGTTCAAAATTTTTCCAACATTCAGGAAAGATAAGTTTGTCCAAAATCATTGAACAACGACCAAATTCCAACTTAAACTGCTTATTCCTAAGATGTATCTATATTATTTTCGAAGTGAAAGGGACATAACTCTGCCAAAAAATCATCGAACCATGACCAAATTCCAACTTGACCAGCGCATTCCTTTGACATATCCATATGTCAATTTTGAGTTGAATATGTAATACTGTTGGGTTGATAATGAACAGAAACTGTAAATTTCATATCATTTTCAAAGTGAAAGGGGCATTTCTCTGCCAAAAATCATTGAACCATGACCAAACTCGAACTTGGCCTGGGCATTCCAAAAACATATCCATATGTCAAATTTGAGTTGAATGTGTAATACTGTTGGGGAGATAATAAACGGAAACTGAAAATTTCATATTATTTTTAAAGTGAAAGGGGCATAACTCTGCCAAAAATAATTGAACCATGACCAAATTTGAACTTGACCTGTATTTTCTCATGACATATCTATATGTCAAGTTTGAGTTGAATGTGTTGTACCGTTGGGGAGATAATGAACGGAAACTGAAATTTCATATTATTTTCAAAGTAAAAGGGGCATAACTCTGCCAAAAAACATCGAACCATGACCAAATTCGACCTTGACCTGTATTTTCTCATGACATATCCATATGTCAAGTTTGAGTTAAATGTGTTGTACCATTGGGGAGATAATGAACGGAAACTGAAATTTCATATTATTTTCAAAGTGAAAGGGGCATAACTCTGCCAAAAACCATCAAAACCATGACCAAATTTGAACTTGACCTGTATTTTCTCATGACATATCCATATGTCAAGTTGAGTAGAATGTGTTGTACCGTTGGGGAGATAATGAACGGAAACTGAAAATTTCATATTATTTTCAAAGTAAAAGGGGCATAACTCTGCCAAAAATCATCAAACCATGACCAAATTTGAACTTGACCTGTATTTTTTCATGACATATCCATATGTCAAGTTTTGAGTTGCATGTGTTGTACCGTTGGGAGATAATGAACGGAAACGTGAAAATTTCATATTATTTTCAAAGTAAAAGGGGCATAACTCTGCCAAAAATCATTGAACCATGACCAATTTAGAACTTGACCTGTATTTTCTCATAACATATCTATATGTCAAATTTGAGTTCAATATGTGCAACGGTTATTAAGATAATGAACGGAAACTGATGATGACGGAAGGACGGAATGACGGAATTACGGAATGACGGAACAGGGTAACACTATATGCCCTTGCCATTATATGGCGGGGGCATAAAAAGTAAATACAAAATGTTAAAACAAAGTCATAGTTCAAACACATCATAATTATCAATAAAAGTATAAAACCTCTGAAAACCGGAATCCTCTGAAAACCGGAATTTTGGTCAAGTCCGGAGAGGGTCTGGTTTTCGGAGTTTTTACTGTACTACAAGTCAAGGTCATTGCTCTTCATGTACTTATAGTCAAGGTCATTGCTCTTCATGTGTACTAAAAGTCAAGATCATTGCTCTTCATGTACTAAAAGTCGAGGTCATTTCTCTTCATATACTAATAGTCAAGGTCATTGCTCTTCATGTGTACTAAAAGTCAAGGTCATTGCTCTTCATGTACTAAAAGTCAAGGTCATTTCTTTTCATGTACTAAAAGTCAAGGTCATTGCTCTTCCCATTGGAGGTGGAGGGTTACCAGTGATTTATGTGCATTACATGTTCGTAAATAAGATGTAGGAATAATAATTGTATTTCATTTATGAAAAGTGAACATTTAACAATATAGTTAAGCATGCAAAAATTTAAATCATCATTTAACTATTTTTTATGCATCCATGCTTTTTTATTATCTAGGGCAATATAAAAGGAAAAATAATAAATTACTAAACAACTAAACAAAAAGGCAAGACCTGATCTGAAATAAAAAACATTCAACATCCATTTTACCACAATGAAAAGTATATAATACAAGATATATATTATACATGCAAAAGATTTACTGGTATTTGTTTGGCAAGATATGTATAAGTGATGTAAATGTCTATGCTTGATTTAAGTACATATGTATTCCCTATAACAATCTCCATTATATGATTAATATAGGCCATGGTGTCAAATTGTTGCAGAGAGAGCCATGCCCAACTGATACCCAGCTAATTTTCTAAATTATCATGCAGGAAAACAAGTTGACACCATACCCCACCCAGTCATGTTATAATGACAACAAATTGTCCAGTTTGAAATTTATTCCTGTTAATGTGAGAACAAAGCTAGAAGGCTATCAGCAATGCCTCTATTTTTTGTATGACCTGGCTACGATAATTAAACCAGTCAATTTGGATATAAAAAGGCAAACGCTCTACCTTAAAAACAGGTAATTTAACAATTCAGTTTTTATATAAAAAGGAAACGCTCTACGTAAGACATAAAGCTTTAAGCTGCTTAACACTTAACCTGCTGAAATTTCTTAAATGGACTTGTCCAGCTTCCATTTTTGGAACTGTCCATTATTAATTTTGGGTATATATACAGTCATGTATAGATGCAATTTTATTAGCCAACAGTATAGGGCCTGGTCAGACTGCATGGAAGTGCAGGCTGGCCTGGCTATATACTGGAGGTAAAGGCTAATTACTTTCATTTCCAGCAGGTTAGGAGGTAATTTTCATCTCCTAAATTAATTAATAGAAACCCTATAACCACAGTGATCAGCATTCAAAAAGGCATGCATTAAATAATCATAGACAAAAAAAGGGGGTGATGCGTAAATTAATATTTGATTTTGGTTATCGTTCATAAATCATTCTTGAACAGTAAAGCAAAGACGTACCTGGTATCAAACGCTCTAAAATAATATGTATATAAGACATTTATCTTGTGTTTTTTTATGAGATACTAAAATATATATCAGTGAGATATAAGTCATATTAGATAGTTTGAGCTACGTGAAATACAGATCTATACATTGAAAGAAATAGCAAAGTAAAAACACATAGAACATCATACTGTGCATCCACTTAATTTTGATCGCTTTAAATTTTGTTCATTTTTAAGAAAAGTAAAAATGTGCAATTTTTTACATGTTAATTGCAATAAATGACTTATTTTGCAGTATTGATCACCTTATTTTTACTTATCTTAAAACCTTAGTACATTTTTTTTATAAGTTTTTTTTTATTTAAATTTTGGCTCATCAAAGATCAGTAAAAACTGAAATTTGACATAAAAAAAATCAAGTAAAAAATGATATTTTAGCAAGGTGACTATCTAAGAAAATGATATTAAAGAGAAATGACATTCAGGAAAAATGACATTCACGATAAAATGACATTTGGGAAAAAATGTAAGAGTAGAAAAACAACTAGCACTTGATAGCAAAATGAAGTGTTTCATCAAGTTTATTCATATGTTTTTTGGATTCTTCATTAAATAGATCTACTTTGACTAAGACATTAATGATGAAAAATTAGAAAAAAAATTCATAGTCAAACAGAAGCATATTTTGGTATACATCTTGGTGTAGTAAAAGCTTTACCTCTCATCAATAGTTGTTGCCGGTACAAGCTCTGTGTAATCCAGAGGCTTGCTCTTCTCTTCAAATTTCTTGGCAACTTGATATTTTTCCTATAAGACATGAATAATTTTTGTCCAGCATGCAAAAGAGTCATAATAAAGTACAATTAATTTCATTTCTAAAATGGCGGTAGTGTTTATGACACAGTATGAAAGAAGTTTTTTGATTTCTGGCTGTTGAGTGTAACAGATGTTTCACTTTACATTATCTCTCCTGAACAGACTCAATAAAACAGAGGTCTGGGAATTTCAACTTTTTTCAACTTCTGTTCTTGTAATCATTATTCAAGAGTGATCTCCCCATTTCAAAAACCTAAAGTTATTTGGCAAACTTTCCAGATTTACTGGTGAAGGAAGATCTGGGATAACCCTGCACACATTATTTTTAGATACAAGCTGGCACTAATTTATTGTCGACTTTCCACCTTTACTGTTTGAGGAAGACACCCGAGTAGAACCACCAATGTTCTGAAAGCTAGTTGGACAGCTTCCTGACATGAAAGAACACAAGATCCTTGTCATGATTCGGATTCACAGCAATTATGGGCAAGCGGTTGGAAGTCAAGACAGTAACCACTTGGCCAAGGACACCCCCTCCCCCCCCACACATAGTGTAAAAAAACATGCAATATACAATAATGTATAGTAGACTTACTCTTCTTATGGCTAATCTAACATCTTTAGGAACATCAGGAATTAGGTATGCAAGTATAAACTTGAGAGCAAACACTATATGCTGAAAATATAATATAGATATACATATATAAAATATCATAATATACATACAGGTGACTGTGCACAAAAATATCACTTGCTATTGGAAAAATAACAAATTTTTACAATTCATAATAACTAGTATATAATTTGACTTATTTGGTTAATTCAGCTGATTTTTTTTCCACCTAAGCATTCGAATTGACAATTGGGTTCAATGGCTAAATTTTAGGCCTGCCATTGGCGATGTGACCCCTGGTAAAGGGATGCATCAAAGGTTCAAATAATCTTGTAGCTGTCTTGACAAGGTGATTTAGTCTTGGTCGACTGCTGTAAGAAAAATACGGCTTGTTGAAAAAGTGTCCCTGATGTTAAATGATACTTTAAGTAAAAGATATATTTTTAAACAAAATAGGCAGTTCCAACATTAGATTAGGACAAGCCCATTATGCAAATTTATAGGTGCCAAAGGTTAATCATGTGACCAATCGTATCCTTGTAAGCTTTACAGGGCATGATTTATATCAAGGTATGTAGATATCTTACCTCAAACCCTATACATATCCATAACCTTGTTTGTACACTGTATTTAAGGCCCCAGGACGAGGTGAATGCTATAAGGAAGCCATTAGAGACAACACCAATGAGATTGACAAACTCCAGTATACCATACCACATTCCTGTAACACATATTTTATAGTAAAATAGTAATATAATAATGTCAAAAGTTACATTTCAGGAATTAAGAAACATGCATGCTGTCCCTAAATTTAAATCTATTACAGTTCTGCTTAAATATTTCATGAAAATTGCATTTTAAGCAGAATGCCTCCAGATTCATGCTTTTTTTCCATATATTAAAATGTAAAATATTGTCAAGTGAACAAAGAAAGTAATTTACATATTGCAGGCGGTACATAAAATTACCAAACATGATAAAATATAAAAAAAACTTTACAGAGTTAGTAATACAAAAGAAATATGGCAATAATACTGCAAGATCAGTTATTTATTGCATACTGCATGTAAACATGTAAATTATTTCTTGAATTGCTAATATATTTAACAAGAGCCCAGTTTGAGTCAGGTGATGCTCCCCGAATAGGTTTTGGACACAGGAAAGTACACCTCTTGTAGTTTCAGAGTTATGTCCCTGGAAAAAGTTCAAAGTACAATAATTCCAAAATTAGACAAGGCAGAGTTACTGTTCTTTGCACTGCACTTCTAATCAATGCGATCTATTAACCTACAAAGTTTCTTGTTGATACCTCTTATGGTTTCTGAGTTATGTCCCGGACAAAGTTCAAAATGTAAAAATGAACAAAGGGCAATAACTACAAAACTTGGCAAGGCAGAGTTCAAGTTCTTGAGCACTGCACATCTACCCATTGAGATCTATCTACCTAAAAAGTTTTATGTTGATACCTCTTGTAGTTTTTGAGATATTTCCAGGACAAGATGATTTTAAAAGGGGAGATAATTAAACAAGAGGGCCATGATGGCCCTGAGGTCGCTCACCTGTATATAGGCCCCCCCACCCCCGGGCAAATTTTTACCCACGGGCTTTTATTTGTTTATTTGAACAGACTTGGTAGACACCCATAAGAAGATGTTTCATGCTAAACATCTAAGTTCTAGCTCATTGGGTTTTTAAAACAAGAGCACCGCTAGGCGGAGCATTATATGCCCGAAAGTGGTTTTTTTTTTAGTAAAGATGAAGCATTTGTAAGACATGGGACTAAAATAAAGTATTACCTCCTTCAAATAACAATCCTCCTTTGCAGTTTCAATATTGTGGTCCAAATGGAACTTTTAAGTTTATGTCCCAGAAACTGTTTTCAATTCTAAGGTAAAAGTGACCTTGACCTTTGACCTTGTGACCCCAAAATCATGAGGGTCTTTAACCCAATATGGACAATCATACTATGAAGTTTAAACACAGTAGGCCAAATGATACTTAAGTTATATTCCGAAAACTGTTTTCAGTTTTAAGGTAATAGTGGCCTTGATCTTGTGACCCCAAATTCAATAGGGGTCTTCTACCCAATATGGACAATCATCCTATGAAGTTTGAATATGTGGGCTAAATGGAACTAAAGTTATGCTCAAGAAACTGTTTTCAATTTCTAAGTAATAGTGACCTTGACCTTTGACCTTGTGACCCCAAAATCAATAGGGTCTTCTACCCAATATGGACAATAATCCTATGAAGTTTGAACACTGTGGGCCAAATAGAACTTAAGTATGCTCCGGAAACTGTTTTCAGTTCTAAGGTAATAGTGACCTTGACCTTTGACCTTGTGAACCCAAAATCAATAGGGGTCTTCTACCCAATATCGTCAATCATCCTATGAAGTTTGAACACTGTGTGCCAAATGGAACTTAAGTTATGCTCCGGAAAACTGTTTTCAGTTTTAAGGTCATAGTGACCTTGACCTTGGACCTGTGACCCTAAAATCTAAAGGGGTCTTCTACCAAATATGGACAATCATCCTATGAAGTTTGAACACTGTAGGACAAATGAAATTTAAGTTATGCTCCGGAAACTGTTTTTCAGTTTTAAGGTCATAGTGACCTTGACCTTTGACCTTGTGACCCCAAATCAATAGGGGTCTTCTACCAAATATGGACAATCATCCTATGATGTTTGAACACTGTGGGCCAAATGGAACTTAAGTTATGCTCCGAAACTGTTTTCAGTTTTAAGGTCATAGTGACCTTGACCTTTGACCTTATGACCCCAAAATCAATAGGGGTCTTCTACCCAATATGGACAATCATCCTATGAAGTTTGAATATTGTGGGCCAAAATGGAACTTAAGTTATGCTCCGGAAACCAAATTTTGCTAACGTTTTCAGTTTTAAGGTCATAGTGACCTTGACCTTTGACCTTATGACCCCCAAAATCAATAGAGGTATTCTCACTTAATATGGACAATCATCCTATGAAGTTTGAATATTGTGGGCCAAATGGAACTTAAGTTATGCTCCGAAAACCAAATTGCTAACGGACGGACGGACAGACGGACGGACGGACGGACAGACAGACGGACGGACGCCAGGGGGTATAACATAATATGTCCGAAATTCTTTCGGGCATATAAAAAGATTTTTAAATTTTTTTCTATACACATATAGTTAAAAACAATGACACCCCTGGGGCAGGGCCAGTTTTGACCTCCGGGCTTTTATCTGAACAAACATTGTAGATATTTACTTCAAGATGTTTCATGCTTAGTATCTAAACTCTAGCTATTTGGGTTTTTTCAAAGAAGATTTTTTAAGTTTTTGCTATACACATATAAGGAAAATCAATGACCCCCCCCCCCCCCCCCCCCCCCCCCCCCCCCCCCCCCCGGCGGGGCCAGTTTTGACACCAGGGCTTTTATTTGAACATACTTGGTAGAACACCCATTAGAACATGTTTCATGCTAAATATCTTAGCTCTAGCTCTTTGAGTTCTTTAAAGAAGATTTTTTAAAGTTTTTACTATATGCATATAGGGAAAATCAATGACCCCCTGGGCGGGGCCAATTTTGACCCCAGGGCTTTTATTTGAACAAACTTGGTAGACACTCATTAGAAGATGTTTCACGCTAAATATCTTAGCTCTAGCTCTTTGGGGTTCTTTAAAAGAAGATTTTTTAAGTTTTTACTATATGCATATAGGGAAAATCTATGACCCCTGGGGCGGGGTCAATTTTGACCCCAGGGCTTGTATTTGAACAAACTTGGTAGACATTCACTAGAATATGTTTCATGCCAAATATCTTAGCTCTAGCTCTTATGGTTCTTTAAAAGAAGATTTTTTTAAGTTTTTTACTATATGCATATAGGGAAAATCAATGACCCCCGGGGTGGGGCCAATTTTAACCACAGGGCTTTAATTTGAACAAACTTGGTAGACACTCACTAGAAGATGTTTCATGCTTAATATCTAAGCTCTAGCTCTTACGGTTCTTTAAAAGAAGAATTTTAAGTTTTTACTATATGCATATAGGGAAAATCAATGACCCCCCCGGGCGGGGCCAATTTTGACCCCAGGGCTTTTATTTGAACAAACTTGGTAGACACTCACTAGAAGATGTTTCATGCCAAATATCTAAGCTCTAGCTCTTAGGGTTGTTTAAAAGAAGATATTTAAAGATTTTTCTTTCGGTTGCCATGGCAACCAGAGTTCTGCATGGAATTAAATTCTTTGAACAATTTTTAAAGGTGACCACCAAAGGAACATTCCTGTGAAGTTTGGATGAAATTGGCTCAGTGGTTTATGAGGAGATGTCATTTAAAGCAAAAGTTTACGGACGGACGGACGACGGACGGACGGACGCCGGACGAAAAGCGATCACAAAAGCTCACCCTGTCACTTTGTGACAGGTGAGCTAAAAATTGGGCAAAACAGAGTTATGGTTTTTTTGTACTGCACTTTTACTCAATGAGATCTATCTACCAATAAAGTTTCATGTTGATATCTCTTATAGTTTTACAGCTATGTCCTGGACAAGATTTTTCTAAAAGGGGAGATAATTCAAAAATGCAGTTTAACAGATTTATGGTTTTTTGCACTGCACTTCTACCTATTGAGATCTATTAACCTACAAAGTTTCATGTTGATATCTCTTATAGTTTAAGAGTTATGTCCTGGACAAGATTTTTCTTAAAGAGAGATAATTAAAAAACCGGGGAAAATAGAGTTATGGTTCTTGTGCACTGCTCATGGACCCATTGAGATCTAATTTACCTACTAAGTTTCATGTTGATTTCTCTTATAGTTTTAGAGTTATGTCCCGATGTACAAGATTTTTTTAAAAAGGGAGATAATTAAATAACCAGGTAAAATAGAGTTATGGTTCTTTGACACTGCACTCCCCCTCAATGCCCTCTACCACTGTATAAAGTTTAAACAAATTATCTCCAAGGGTTTTCAAGTTATGGTCCGGACAAGACAACGGACAGACAGACAGATCGACGGACAAGGTGGTGACTATATGCTCTACCTTTGGGAAGCATAATAATTATCTTAAAATCTCAATGAATTTTACACAAGGCTGACCTGAGAACAATTTCATTTGATGTCAATTTGCACCTTAACTGTTAACAATATATAAAACATACAACAATGCAAAAAAAAACAAAAAAACATGGAAAGAAGTGCTTTTAATCAACCTACCTAAATCTTGAGCAATAAAGGCCACCGGTCTTCTGTTTAACCACAGCAATCTTTTGGCATCTATATGTTTATCCAGGAATAATATGACTAAGGCTATAAATGGTGCCAGAGGGAATGATGCCGCAAATAGCTGTTATAAAATATAAAATTGATAATTCATTTTTAAGTTTTTATTCGTTAATATTTGTATATATATTTTGTTGACTACATTGCTTATCTAACAGTTATTAAAAAGAAAATTCCTGGGTACTAAATGACAAATTTATGATTCATCAACTTGAACCTGACAATTTCCAAGCACCTGCATTAGTCTTATTGGCTTGAAACTTCACAAATGGTAGTAATAATTAGCTGTACAGAAATACTGACCTTAGATACCTTTCTTAAATTATATTGAATCCAACTAGCATTATAATAGTATACCAGTTTGAGGACAGGAACCTTATATGTTTCTTTTTTTTAGATTACTTTCAGCACATGAATACAGCTTGATTGCTCGAAGAACAAATCTTTCTGCAAGCTCGAACTGTATAGACTCCCAACAAAAATATAACTCCATGCCCAGCACAGGAGTTAAAAATCAAAGCTTTGAGGTTAAACAACCTTTGAATGTAACACTTGTCCGTAACTGCTTCAAAACGAGTAAAGTTCATTGATTAAAAGAAACCTACTTACGGACAAAAAACGCTAAATTAACTTACCATCAGAAACCCATAAATGATAACTTTCTCAGTATATTCCCCGAGGGTAAAATCTCCAAGTGGTGGTTTGTATCTTTCTTTTTTCAAAAATGCCTTCGACCTTTTTGACGCTAGCGAGTCTGTGTCTATAAAATCTGAAACCTTTTCCTCATCTTCAACCTTGTTGTTGCAACAACAACAACCTTTATCGCAACATCGGCAACAATCGGGACGTGTCCGCCATAACTTTCTTATAAACCTACAAAACATCAAATAAAGGTTTCTAAATGTTAAAACAGAATAAAGTGTGTACTGTCAGATATAGAATTACAGGAACTGTATTTTTTGTATGTAGACTTCTGAATGATTAAAGGAACTCCACTGAGGCCTAAAACCATAATTTATAAAATTTTATAAAAATCAGTTTGAGCACTTAAAACAGAAATACATGAAAAAGAAATATACTCAGAATTGAATTGAAAATTATTATTGAGTATGATTCTTAGCCTAATTTGAAACACTTTTCATTTTAATAAATATTATTATACCAGAAAAAGCAGAGTAGCAAATGACCACAAGTTATGTATACATGTAGAATTGCATCAAATGCACTAAAAAAGTCCGAAAATATATTTCCAGTCCAGTTATATAAAAAACCTCAGTGGAGTCCCTTTAAGGTCACTAATTATGAGTTGCTTGCCCTTCGTAAGATCTCTTTAATTTTTTCATCCAACTAACATGATGTGCATGGCATGACCTAGGCACAAATTTGAACCTCATACACAAAAAGATGCAGAGGGGTCTTCTTTCAGATGGAAAAATTAATGATCTTAACATGTCATACTTAAATACAGCTAAACAATTCAATGAACATCCTCCAGATAACTCATTTCAGAAACCAGGAAGGAAAATAATGTTTATGTCATTGAAAGCCAATGTTGAGTTTCATCTAAATCTGCAGGATACCATGTATAGATAATCTCTATTTTTAGCTCAGTCTGCAATATTGTTTAGTGAATCAGAACAATATTAGTTATTGGTAGAAGAACTGAGCACACTATGCACTGTGAAACACTATTGAAACTTACTTTAATTATTGTTAAATAGAGAGAAATAGAATCCCTACAGAAAGTCTAAAATGACAAAACTGAAAATGTTGCAGGTTTGGTTTGATTGAGCCTGTTCATAGACAGTACTGGAAAGTGCAAGATACCATCCATGCCTCCCAGTACAGGCTGCAGATGTGTTCATATGTTGGTTATCGTGGAACCTTCAATGTGACACACGAGTGCCATTCCATGAAAATGGGCGTAAGGTCCCAAAGCTAAATAATGTGTGTGCCCTAAACGAGAAAACAATGGGTGGAAACTAAATGGCATTTTGAAAGGGGTACAGATGTTATAAAGCTTGCAAATCACAAACAAGCTGTCAAAAGACCAATTTTAAAAGCAGGCAACATATCCTAAGTGAGATTAAACATGAAATCACCATTACTAAACTTACGGTAATATAATACATGTAGACTTGCGGTAAAATAAAAGACTTACGGTAATACAATATCTTTCAAGAACTTTGGTAATGGTTTTGCCAGCATGAGGATACAGACTTGAAATGAGAGTTGTGACATACAACTGTCCCCTTCACACTTGTCATTGTACTCATCAGGTAGTCCAAATATACCTCCAAATCTCTGAAATAAATAGCGTTATAATATAATATCATTGAAAAAAGTGTCTTATTATAAACCATGTACATGGAAAGAAGTTAAAAATATTTTAAAAACCCTTAATTCAGCAGTATTTCCATTAGTTTCATATTGAAAATGAGAGCTTTTAGGAGTATTAACTTTAAGCCTTCTGATTGAAACGGGTTACCAACATAACCAGTGAAGACAAAGTTGAGACGGCACAGATCATAAATCACGATCATTGTTCGCACTAATCGCTACTCAGTCAGTACTTATATTAAAATTTTCTCTAAAAATGATGAACGGTTTTGTCCAGGATGAAAATTGGACAAGGCCATGTAAGATACTCTTGTCAAATCATCTTATAGTACCAATGTTTCTAAATTATGTAGTGCTCAGCTCAATTTGATATCCCATCACATACACATACAACCACAGATTTGTTCATGTGGTAAACTTACTTACAAGCTAAGTTGACATGTGCTACAATATCTTCACCCCTAAAGCTTGAAACCGATGATCTCAGAGATAGTTAGAAAACAAAAGTAGTAAAAGTTTACCTCTATGTAATTTTCATTTTGCATAATAACTAAAGAAAACACTAATTAAATAGACAGCCCGAGAGGTATGTCTTTAAAGGCTACTCACCCCTCTAAAGAAGGCTATGTAGAAACATGAGGCATATGTGTTGGCGAATGAGAAGGCAAACAGTTTTATAATGAGGGCATCGTTATACTGTGTCTGTGTACGATGATTTTCTGAAAAAGTAAAAATAATAATTGAGTCGCGTCATGACAATACCAACATAATGGGTTTGCGACCAGCATGGATCCAGACCAGACGCACTATGTTGGTTTTGTTGTGATGCGGCTCATATTTATAATTGTTCTAAGAAACAACTGCAATATAGCAGATAAATGTCACAAAGTACAGGCAATAAAGCAGTTTGACCAGACTCTACATTGTCAGGAGCTAATATTTCTAATATTTGACTTCAACATATGAAGAAACTTAACAAAGCGAAACATGTATTGGTAAACTGTGTTGCTTTGTGAATCTTTATATCAATATTTTGACATGGAATTTCCTTCAATTAATGACAGATAACTCTAGATCAAATGAACTGTCAATTTGTTACATACATTTAGCAGGATACAGGTTCAATTGTTTCTTTTTAATACATTTTTGGTTGTATCTCTGCCATCGATTCATCTAACCAGTTTTCCTGGATAACTGACCAGTAATCACCAATTTTTCTGAAAATTACCAACTACTAATCCCAAATGATTTCTAAATCAGTGGTGTTAGACAGATGACTATTAGCCCTACCAGAGGATCCAACCAGTGACCACTGGATTACTAATTCAATACTCTCCCTTTTAAACTAAGCAGCCAAACTGAATCAGGATAACAAGATATAATTACTTGTACATAAAGAGAGATGTTATGTTAAATATCCATAGCTTTGAGCTCTTAACCAAACAAAGTTTGTAATTTTTGAACTTGGACTACCCTGTGTTTTAATTGCTCAAAGGTTTTTATTTCAGAATTCAATTTTTTAACAGAGATAAAGTAAATCTACATGTTTTTCACTTATTGTAAAAAATATAGATTTTCTTATCTCTTTTAAGTATTTGATTTCTGAAATTAAAACTTTTGAGCAATTAAAACAAAGAGGTGAAGTACAGGTTAATCTACATATTTTTACAGTATCAAGCGAAATATGCAGAAGTAATAAATGTATACAATATAAACACAAATTAAAAAAAAACTTACCCCACTCTGTTAGTTTTAATGCCACCCAGTCGTAAACCTGAAGAAGAAAAGAAAAAGGAATCAGAGGCCATTTTGTTCATGTTAACTGGTATAATATACATTCTAGAAATTCTAAAGAGTTCAAACTTTTAAGCAAGAATACTAGATAACTATCAACAACTATGGCTGTAACCTCAACCTTTGAAAGAGATCTGAGGCCTACTCGTTCTAAAAGAATGCTTACAAAATATCTGTAATGGAAGAAATACAATGTATGTCTGCATATTACTTAAAGAGCCAATGAAGCATGCATAATTTAAAACCCTAGTTAACACAGCAGCATAATATTTTGTTCCTGTTTACGTACTGTACAATATTTATATTTGTTAAATAACAGAGAGGTGTACCAATTTTCTTTTATTATATCCAAAAAGTTACTCATTAGCCTATTACTTAAACCATCTTTTTTATCTGTAACTTTTTGGCAATAAGTACAGTATTAGTAAAATGGTATTTTGTATGGAAGTCAAAATACTACTTTTATTACAAATCATATCACATCTATTACTTATTGTCAGGTAACAAGCATCTATGATTTGTCTTAAACCATTATTTAAACATTATAAAATTCATGTTTGCCAATTCTAAAGAAGTAAAAAATTATTTATTTCTGAGGCACAATGTGCCTTTAAGGATTAAAATCATTCACATTTACCTTTCCAAGAAGCAGTATAGATAATGCATTGAGTAAAGCTGAGAGTATATTAGTCAGGAGAAGACAGCTGACTGTACTTATATTTGTACAATAATCCACGCTCACGATCACCCGATATACCACTACCGCTGCCACACTGATGAATACCAAACAAATCTGGAAAATACAAACTCTAGATAAGTAATTCACACTAAATATCTAAATGATATAATACACAAGCTTACTAAGAATTCAATTATTTCTGTTCTAGAAAATGACCTTTCCTACAAAAAATTTGATCCAAGTTAAAGTATTGACTTCAAATTGACATAATTACATCTAATAAATTATCTAAAAAAAAATACAAACATAAGTTCTAACTCTGACAAAAAGCTATGTGTAGACTTTATTTCCGAACAAAACTTTATTTTCATCACCATATAGTAAATGTAAAGTATTTAAGGGACATAACTGAGGTTTTTGACAAGAACGAAATGGAGACTATGTTTCTGAATTATCTTGTGCATTTCCACAGTTCATCTACACTGTATCTGAGAAATTCATATTTAATTCTTTAAGACTCTTGAACCTCAGTTGAGTTCCTTTAAATAACAATCTTGGTCAACAATCTTGGTCAACAATCTTGGTCAAAATTGAAACTTGAAAAGCACCAGTCTGAAAGTGACATACATCTGATTGGATAATACTAAATACAAATTCAAACTTGACTGGTTCCATTTTCAGGTCTGATTAAGAAAGATCTGAATAGGTTTGTCAATGTTAAACTGACACAGTCTGACTCACCATGAAAATTAATGCTGAAGCTGAGATACAAAATTTGAGCATTTGTCTTTTCCAAGAATAAAACCAGTCATGCTGCTGTGTGACAGGATCCTGAAATAGTAAAACAAAAAATTGTCACAATATGCTTGAGTATATTTACTTCACAAAAGTAAAAGTCCATGTAAGAGTTGTGGGTCTTGGTCAGTGACATAAAATAATGACATTAATGTAATTTACAGCATCCGATGCCAAGTGGTTAAGAATGTTGACTTCAAACCACTTGTCCCTCATCTACCAGGGATTGAATTCTGTCATGTGAGGAAGCTATTCAGCTATCTTAAGGACATCAATGGGTCTACTCAATTTTTTTATGAGCCTGAAATAATGCACAGAGGGGCACCTGAGGTCTTCCTCAACCAGTTAAGCCATATGACCACATCTGTGTTTGTGTGACATAAAATCAAACTTAAGGGGTAAAAAAGTGTGTGAAGTTTCTAATTCTGTCATGAATTTAAAATGTAAAACAATTTATTTTTGTTGCTTTCTGTGTCATAAATACTTTTTTTAATTTGGTTCCAAAGAATTCCGGCCTGTCAGGTTCATTCTGTTCAAACTGGTCCACATCCCATTCATACGACAGCCTCGCATTATAGCGCTTCCATAACTCCAGAAATATTGTACCTGCATACACAACATAAAATAATAATAATGACATACATATACTTTGTACATGTTCAACATACCAGAAATTGATAAGAAAATAAGCCACATCAATCATTTTGTTTGTGAAACCACTAGTTAACAGCTCTGCAACCAGTAAAGATCCTGAATAGCTTATCTGTTAGGCCTGTCTTAGCTGTACATGTACATTATTTGTTATATAGGTTGCTGAGGGTAAATTTGGGAGAATTATAGCCAGAATAAGGATGATCTTGTGCAAAAAGCTAGCCAATTGTTATACAAATTTCAGAAGGTTATATTCAACAACTTCAAAATTTTCATCCTAATATCCCAAAAATTAATTATTGTTGTACAAATTCTATAGAATAAGGAGCCAGTACAGCATATGTTTAGCTTGCATATTATGTTAAGTCAATTGTAATAATTTACATGTATATAAATAATTATAATCAATCTTTTATTCAAGTCCACAAAAGCTATTCAAAACCAATAAGTTATTTATAAATGCTGTCTCACAAAATTGCTTTCATTATTCAGAATTCAACATTATAGTCTTTTGTTTTATTGCAATTTGATTATTGAACATTAAGCATTTGCCCTTTGGCATCAAAATATAGCTATTGACATACAGTCTTGTATATATTAGTAGGCTTTTTGCATCAAACAATAATATTATAACCCTTTTTACAATAACATTTAGCAATATTTTATCAAATCAAATAATGTATATAGTGGCATCAAATATATATATACATTGTACAATGTTTTGGCATCAAAAATATATAGAAAAATGCCTTAAAAAGACAAACATGTTTCTGGCATGATCACTTACCCTCTAAATTATGATACTGGTATTTTATTGACCATTGCATTTTTGCAACAACAGCGCTACCTGGGAATTACAAATAACTTACCCCATAAACAAATGACCATTGCAAAATAAGGCGTAACATCATTGTCAAACGACCCACTAACAGTATTATACAATTCTCCCAACTGCCACTTCAACCTGTAGTCAAACAAACAAAAATAAATCAACAACATATTTTTCTTTTTTCCCTAATTTAGAAACAGTATCTGAAACTATATTCAGCACATAATAAACAGATAAATAGAAAAAAATTCTAAATAGTAAAGACATGTCAAACTGTTAAGATTTATCTTAAATTAGCCTGCCTTACAAAGAGAAGCAGTGGCCTAATGGTTAAATAGTAAGCCACTAATTCAGGAATCGTAATGAGCCCCATTTGGGTCATCGTCATATTTCTGCATATGACACAGTTCTGGTTACATCCAGAAAGCAGACTAGACACAGGTTCAAATAATCTGAATGCTTCCTTCACATAAATATTAATTACCTAACCTAATAAACTTATAATGGGGACAAAACAGGCTTACACACCCAATATTTTTTTTCTGTCAAATTTAAGAAATTTTATCTTCACAAGATAGGTAACAGTAAGTAACAGGTAATTTTTGTGTGTGTGAATTTGCACTTCAAATTAGAAATTGGGAAAGATAAGGCACTGGGAATGCGTCTGATAATCTGAACCAATTGCTAGAACATTGAACTACAAATCCAGCAACCTGGGTTCGATTCCCAGACTGTGCAGGACACTTCTGTTGTGATTGATCAATTCTTTTTACAGTCATTCACACTTGACCTCTGCTAAGGCATATACAGAAGAAGTATCAGTTCCTTGCAGTGTAGGCACTGACTGATACTAGTAAACTGCTTGACAGCATACCAAAGAAAGAGATACTGAGCTGTAAACTGTGGTCTTGTGAACTCAAAGTAGCTTACAGTCCTGATCCCAAAGGGTAAACTACAAAATCCATCACCTCTGATAGTTTGACCCACAAAGCAAGTAAAAATGGACTAGATTTCAAGTGTTTGGATTATGAACATAGTTTACTGTGAGTAGCACGAAAACCCTGTTATGCAATAAACGTGCAGCTTTTTGATACTGAAATGTTTTAAAATGAAAATTGCCAGTTCTGTAATCAAAGCACATTTCCATTATACAAATCATGTGTGCTATTATTTTAATCATTAATAGCTCTTATAAATAAAGGTTGAAAGTAAATAATTAATAAGTATACACACTCTTCCTGCGCTGTCAGATTCTTTGGCATCTCAACATTTTGTGCTGACCTTTCAAAACTGTGATACAACAGTAGAATATTGTAATATTTATTCATTAAAAATGCATAATATAAACAAAATCTAATAAGAAGTATAATTTCCATAAAAGCAATGATAAAAATTATGTAAATGTGTATGAATTTAATGATTCCATAATAAGGCGATAACGGAAGCCTTACTGAATGAAAAACAATGAAAAATTCCAAATTCAAAGCAAGAAAAGTTAATTAATTAATTAATAATCTTACAGGATCAGTGTTAATTGAAGTTAATGCAATGATTCAGTCACTGCCAGCAGGCTCAGGGGTTACATTTTATCCCTATTTCTACTTATTATATACTTATAAATGAAATATTGAGAAATATCTGACGAAATAAAATGCATCTTTTCATTTTCCGTATTTTAACTGTAAAAAGTTATTTTCCACTGCAGTGAAAAATATTTTCCTTAGTTTCATTGATGTCTTGCCAGACTATTTTCTTCTTAATTAATTCAGCCAATACACATAATTTAAAAGGAAAAATTTCAAACTGTATCGTCAAAAAGGTGAAAAATGTATAATAAGAAACAGAAAATCGTGGTATGAAAATTATTTACTTATGAAATATTAATTTTCATACCCCTGAATGAAAGTAAACCTTGTATTTATAGAAAAAACTTGAAATATCCTACTTATATAAACAATTCAAATAAAAAATAAATATCTGGATCAAATACCTGACAGTTAGACCATAAAAAAAGCAGGCCAGTCCAAAGAAAGTTGGAATCCATAAACTTGTTATCAACAGACCCGCCCACGCAAAATACAGAGCAATTTTTTCTCCAAAGTAGTTCCGAATTTTCCACACTGGTTGAAATTTCCAAAATGTGGTCCAAGGACGGTCAAGATCTTTCCTTGGATCAACTTTAATAGTATGCTCCTCTTCTTTCTCTCCTTTAGATTTCTTTTTTCTCTCATCCTCTGTTTGCATTTCCATCACTTTACTAAGTTCAGAATCTTCATGTAGTATAAAGGCATCAACATACACTTCCTTCATTAACATATATGGTAAACCTGCAACAGAAGAATATATATACATGTATAATTATATTTTAAGGGTATCTATTTTTAGCAGTCTTTTTTTAAGTCATTTTATGTTCCAGTCATCCTTGTTGTTGATAATATCTGTCATATATTTAAACTAATGTTGTTTTTTGGTGTGTTTTTTTCTTCATTTTATCTATGCTATCACATCTGACTCTTTGATTTTCAATAGCCAGATTACTGCCACCTTACAGGTTTTTGTCTTTTGTGGTGCTCAGACCAGCATGAATTCACAGATGCAAAAATGTATGATATACAGTGCACAATTATTTAAACTGCAGTAGACTGTACCTTTTTTTACTTTTTCAAGTCTAGTGTATAGGATATAAAAACTAGTTCATTCTAGAAGAAACAGCATTGTCCTTTAATTTACAAGGTCTCTAGCACCATTCAACACGATCTTGGTTTTAAATAGTCATTTGGAAGACTTGTTAGCAATTTTAGTTGGACTAGCAGGGAATCAAACTCAAGCCCTGAAATAGTAGTCAAGACAATATTAGCCCAGTGAACCACTGTGCCTACTCTAGCAGAATATAAATTAAAGTGTAAACACTCCTACTTTACTCACCCATCTTTGACAGTACAATATTGTCTGGGTTCTCAGAATCTTTTGGATAGCATGGGCAACAGGCACAAAAATCTGTGAAGCAGTCTTCAACAATCTGTAGCTGGGCATACACCAATGTGGCATTTCCTTGAGCATCTGTAGGAAACAAAACTAAATGTTAGTCTAATTACATGTATATTATATCATAATTTCTAGGATTATTCAAATAAAAATTATGGGTTACAGGTGAAAATGATATTTTATAGAATAAATACTGAAACATGTTTGTAAAATAGGACAAACTATACAATTAAGAATTTCTAAAATAATTAAAGAAATAACTGGTAATTAATTCAAAGAAGACAATGTAATGTAAAAACAGAAATATTTAAATAAATAATGAAGGAAACAACGTATTGTAAAAAAAACATGTTGTTGTTGTTTTTGTAAGTCACCCTGACATTGTTACAGTCATCACACAACATTCTTGAATTATTGATAGAAGACATGAGAGGTGCCTTTTAAATATGCACATTCATTCAGGCACAATTAACCAGAGGTTCCCAAAGTTAAACAACAAAATTAACAAGGGGTACCCAAGTTAAACAACAAAATTAACCTGGGGTACCTCTTAGTTAAACTATAAAAAATTCCATAAGCTAGCTGGATAGCTTTTTTATTGTTAAAAAAAGAGAAGTATATGGTAGAATTCGAACAATTACAGAAGTCACTGTAAATCTTTTCGATTTACACTGAATCATTAGTCAAGCAATTTTCAAAATATTTACAAATGTATCTTAATTGTAAGTCACATTAAAGAGTCATTATATTACATATAAATGACTCTACATTTTAATTGGGTGAAATAAACCAGATCAAATCAGTTTTAAATTATCCTTTAATCTTTAAATAAACATATATAACACAATATCAAATGTCTCTACAAATATTTCATTGTGAATAAAAATTAAAATTTGCAATTCTTATTAAACAACTTGTGTTTGCTTACATGTACCGGTATAACATTATTTTTTTTAAAAAGGGATCAAATTACAATTTGAATGGCTATGTCTTTTTTGCACTAATTTAAAACTATTTTTAATAAAGCATCAGCATCAGCTATATTATCTAAAATATATATTTGTATGTGTTAACTCAAACTAGTTAAGCAATTGAGCTTAAATTTGCAAACAAAATATCTTGATATATTCAACCATCATCATATTCCCAATTTTGACAAGGGAAACAAGTCACGGGCCAAATGATGTTAATTATATCAAAGCAAGTAACCATAAATCATGTATCACTTATGAACCCTTAATCTGCTAAAACGGTCTTGTCTAGCTTTTATTTTTGGACTTTCCCATTATCAATGTTGGGTATATCAAGATGAAAACTCCAAGTTTGATAGTCAACAACACTTATATGAGCCGCATCATGACAAAACCAACATAATGGGTTTGCGACCAGCATGGATCCAGACAAGACGCAGCCTGCGCATCTGCACAGGCTGGTCTGGATCCAGGCTGGTCTGGATCCATGCTGGGCGCAAACCCACTATGTTGGTTCTGTCGTGACGCGGCTCATATATGTTTAGAGCCTGGTTAGACTGCAAGGATGCACATGTAGTGGCTGACCCAAAGCTCTATACAGATGGGAAAGGCTCCAGCAGGTTAAGAAAAACACTAGGTAAATTGCTTTTATCATTCATGTACCTGTATTATTGAATTTTATCTTTAAGTAAAGCAAAGTCTAAGGCATTTCCAAGCAAGCGTTTTACTTTCTTTATCTAGACTATATCATACTTCACTCAAAAGTGTGTGTGTACAACATAAAAAAAACCAACAAAAAAAACCCTCCCCCAAAACCCCTTATTGGATGAGATTTCGTCATATATGTATCTATACATGTCTTTGTTAACTTGTAGGAATCTTGATATTTCGATTTCGAGTTAAGGTTTCTGCATACAAGTGATATTTTAAATGCATTGAATATTGCGATGTTGGATAGATGAAAATATTTCACCAATGATCAATGTTATATATAATGTATCTGCTTTTTTCTGATTGTGCACATATGTTTGCAATATAATTTGTATATATGTTCATGCCCTTCAATTCTGGAGGAAATAAAAGTATCTATCTGTAAATAAAAAGCCTTGATAATTATGTGCAGAAGTTTGCAATTTTGTCCCAAGTGTTTCATGCCAAAAAGATAATAAGCCTTTCCTTACAAATTATAATAACAGATTTATTTTTATGTGATTCAGCCTCTTATTACAATACTCAGACCCTGTATTCACAAAAGACTGAAAAACCTTTTTTTTCCTTGGTGAACTATATATTAGGGCCTATTGATTAAATATGGTCATTTGTGAACTTTTCAGCTTCATTTATAGAAGAATCTCTCTGAGTCAGAAAACAAGAGGGCCATGATGGCCCTGAGGTCGCTCACCTGTATATAGGCCCCCCCAACCCCTCCCCCCCCAATGTTGCAGGGCCAATTTTACCCAAGGGCTTTTATTTGCACAAACTTGGTAGACACCCATAAGAAGATGTTTCATGCTAAACATCTAAGCTCTAGCTCATTGGGCTTTTTAAAAGAAGATTTTTTTTAAGTTTTTACTATACACATATAGTTAATAACAATGACACCCCTGGGGCCGGGCCAGTTTTGACCCCAGTGCTTTTATTTGAACAAACTTTGTAGACACTTACTAAAAGATGTTTCATGCTTAATATCTAAACTCTAGCTATTTGGGTTTTTTCAAAGAAGATTTTAAGTTTTGCTATACACATAAAAGGAAAATCAATGACCCCCGGGGCGGTGCCAATTTTGACCCCAGGGCTTTTATTTGAACAAACTTGGTAGACACCTATTAGAACATGTTTGATGCTAAATATCTTAGCCATTGCTCTTTGAGTTCTTTAAAAGAAGATTTTTTAAGTTTTTACTATATATGCATATAGGGAAAATCAATGACCCCCCGGGGCGGGGCCAATTTTGACCCCAGGGCTTTTATTTGAACAAACTTGGTAGACACTTATTAGAACATGTTTCATGCTCAATATCTTAGCTCTAACTCTTTTGGTTCTTTAAAAGAAGATTTTTTAAGTTTTTACTATATGCATATAGGGAAAATCAATGACCCCCTGGGGCGGGGCCAATTTTGACCCCAGGGCTTTTATTTGAACAAACTTGGTAGACACCTATTAGAACATGTTTGATGCTCAATATCTTAGCCATAGCTCTTTGAGTTCTTTAAAAGAAGATTTTTTAAGTTTTTACTATATGCATATAGGGAAAATCAATGACCCCCCGGGTCGGGGCCACTTTTGACCCCAGGGCTTTTATTTGAACAAACTTGGTAGACACCCATTAGAACATGTTTCATGCTAAATATCTTAGCTCTAGCTCTTTGGGTTCTTTAAAAGAAGATTTTTTAAGTTTTTACTGTATGCATATAGGGAAAATCAATGACCCCCCGGGGCGGGGCCAATTTTGACCCCAGGGCTTTTATTTGAACAAACTTGGTAGACACTCACTAGAAGATGTTTCATGCCAAATATCTAAGCTCTAGCTCTTATGGTTTTTTACAAGAAGATATTTAAAGTTTTTTCTTTCAGTTGCCATGGCAACCAGAGTTCTGCATGGAATTAAATTCTTTGAACAATTTTTTAAGGTGACCACCAAAGGAACATTCCTGTGAAGTTTGGATGAAATTGGCTTAGTGGTTTATGAGGAGATGTCATTTAAAGTAAAAGTTTACGGACGGACGGACGCCGGACGGACGCCGGACGTAAAGCGATCACAAAAGCTCACCCTGTCACTTTGTGACAGGTGAGCTAAAAAGGTGCCAATATGTGCTAAAATATCTAAGGCGTTTATAAGTGGGTATTTGAGTAGTCAACCACTGACTCTTTAAAAGCATACTGGACAGCTAGTCCTCCAATGAAGGAAATAAATGACCTTGACCTTCAAGGTCAAATGTCTAAATTTTGCTTGATTTTTGCTATTATTTTTCTTAAATTATCACATACAATTTAAGATTTTCATACAAAACAAAAAGTGACCCCTATCAAATATTAATATTGTTATTCTCATTAAATATACATGTAAATACTGTTTCATTGTTACAATTTTAAGCTGTTGTTAAATTTACATTTATTATATTATGCCAGCACAAAATAACTTTAAATAATTTCAACCTTTAACCAGCAGAGTTTGTGAAATGAAATTGCCCAACTTTTTAAAATTTGGAACAGTCCAAGGAGTTTTAATATCCTAATAGAAGAATTAAGCTATCAAGATTTTACACAGCTGGGTTAATAGACTGCATGGATGTTGTTTTATTTTTTGTTTCTTTTTGCTTGGGTTTTTATTGCATCTGCACAATATAGATCTTATGGCAACTTTCTAGGTTAATTGGTGGAGGAAGACCTCAGGTGCCCTTCCATGCCTTATTTTCCGGTATGAACAGGCACCTGAGTAGAACCACCACATTCAGTAGGCTAGCTGGACAACTTCCTCACATGAAAGAATTCAAAGTCCCTGTAGGAACAAACAGCAGTGAGGGGCAAGTCACAGGTTTAACCACTTGGCTACGGACGCACACACATTATGGATGTACTGGCTGGCCTGGTTCTATACTGGTGGCAAAGGCTCAAGCATAAAGTTATTAACAGATAACTAATATTTAGCTGAATTTGAAAATGGACTAGCCCCGATTTCTTTGTTTCATGATCTTGGAACAGTCCATTATTAATGTAAAGTGCAAAAATCATTATTAAGGTAAAGTGCAAAAAGCATTATTAAAGTAAAGTGCAAAAATTAAGCAGTCTACAGAACAGAGAACCTGGTGACAATGCTCCATGGCCAGAGCCGATCATGTACCAGTAGAATAGGGCTTCTGTGACTTTTTTATTAAAAAACAGATCAAAGATCAGTTTAAATTTTAATATATAATCTCAGAAATTCAAAAAATTATTTTACACTGGCATAATTATTAGACTGTAGAATTACAATTATATAATGGTACAAGATTACAGTGTGCTGAAATCTTACGATGTATGTGGGGTTTTGGTTGCACTAAAAAAAAATAAAAACAAAAATTATATATAAATAAATAAACAAGAGGGCCATGATGGCCCTAGATC